TTGGAATGGGTCCAGCAGAGAGCCCTGAGGGTGATCAGAGGGCTGGGACACTTCTCCTATGAAGACAAACTGAGAGAGTTGGGATTGTTCAGCCTGGAGAAGAGAAGGCTCCAGGGAGACCATATAGCAGCCTTCCAGTACCTAAAGGGGTCTACAGGAGAGATGGGGAGGGACTCTCTATCAGGGAGTGTAGCGATAGCATGAGGGGTAATGTTTTTAAATTGAAAAGTGGAGTTTTAGATTAGATATTAAAAAGAAATTCTTTACTGTGAGGGTGGTAAAACACTGGAAGATTTTGCCCACGGAAGTTGTGGATATCTCATCCCTGCAAGTGTTCAAGACCAGGCTGGATGGGGCTTTGAGCAACCTGGCCTAGTGGGAGGTGTCCCTGCCCATGATGATCTTGATGGAAGGTCCCTTCCATCTCTAACCATTCTATGATTCCAAGATTCTAAGTGCAGTCCCCTGCCCAGCCCAGCAGTAGATATAAACCCGAGTCCATTTTACTCACCATGCGAATTAAGGAGCATAACAGAATTAAAAGGTATGTCCCCTGTTATCAGCTAAAGTATTTTTGCACATACAAGTAGGATAATGTTTTTAGGCTCTTAATGCAGGTTCAACAGTATCTCCATCTTTTCAGCTGGAGTTTCCTTTAATAACTCACACACAGAGGAAATGTATGCTGGCACTTCCTTCTGCTCGAGAAGATCAGAGCCTGGAGTTACTTGGAACACAGTGTCTTTTAGCATATCCTAGGTCTGAGTTGTCTTCTGTTGAGTCACTTGGTCCTGCCAAATGGAAAGCATTTTCACTTTATTCTGTTTTTCCTGAGAGGGCAGCAGTGAGCAGTAACTTCTTATATGGGTGCGACCACAGTTCACTGCAGCAAGCGCAGAGTCACTACTGCAGCAGCAATATAGCAGCTCCTGTACCTCCAAATGTGAACTGTACAGCCTGACGTCATTAGGGTTTGGCTTTTCTTTGTGGCCTGGTTTCTTTCACAGTTTTCCCATTTGCTCTTCTTGTTGAACGTTGAAAGATTTCTTCAAAATACAGTAGTCCCATGTTTCAATCCCAGGGCCTGTTTATCTTTGAGCTTTCAGGAGGTGCTCAGCTCATCCGTTTTAGATGTATTGTGTTGACAGCCTGTCATCCCACCTAAAACTTTCTTTCAAGCAGCAGCTGAACTCTGTCTGCCGAGTGGTAGCCAGAGAGGAAAGGGAAAGAAAGCAATTAGCCAAGCTCCCATCTCCCCGTGGGATGAGCTGCTCGTATCTTTTTGCAGGGCACCCAACGAAGCCCAGATCCACTCAAACTTTACTGATGGGTTGGTAATCTTTTGGGTAAGCAAGCAGGAACCAACTCGTGGCCAAATCAAAAGAAAGGGACAGGGAAAGCTTAGAAAAGTAGTAGTGGTTCCTTCAGTAGCAGGAACTTTTCATACACTAGTTCTTCCACTTGGGTTATTTGAGCCGATTCTATGCATACTATCTTAAAAGTGTCTTATGGCTGGATGCAGTTTAAGATTTGAGAAAAGATTTGGGATAGTTCCTGTTTAAACCCAGACCAACTTGCTTAGTTTGGTAGTCACCGGACTTTCCTACCACACAGCATGGTTTTTTGGGGTTCCACATCCTTCTTAAATATTAAAGACAGTCTTAGATTTCAGCTTTCAAGATTCCAGAGATATGTTTTAGAATATAAACATGAGCAGGCGGTTTTGACTTTAACTTTGTTAACCCAAGTTTAATTCAGACATATATGTTAGCTGTGGGATATTTTTTGAAAAATAAATTAATTGCATCAGTATGCCTATTAATATTGGAGTAACACAGTCTGATGTGTTGGGATCCTTCTTTATTATCTTTCAATTTACCTGGTATCTCTCAATAAGGTTATATGGGTAAATGTATCCGCTTTGCTGTTTGAGAGGAGTTCTTTAGTGTTTTGGTGCCACCTATTGAATTCTTTTCAACTGCGTCCAATCCATTGCTATAATAAATCATATAATAGAATGGAATTATAGAAGAGCAGGACACCTTTAAAATGCTTAGAAGGACATAAAACTGCCGTGAAATGTTGTTAAAATGCCAGTGATTATTTAGAGGGAAAATTGGGAAATCTAGGACAATTCCAAACTGTTTTGAGAAGTGATCTGCTCTAGTTGACACTGGCCTGAGCAGGGCAGCTGGACTGGACGATCTCTTGAGGTCACTTCCCACCTTGAGTTCTATGATCGTGTGTAACGTTTAGCCTCTGTCACTGTGAGTGAGCAATAAACCTCACTTTATATTTAAGCTGGTAACATTATTCCTAACTTTACAAGGGAGAAGATGGGGAAAATGACTTTAACAGGAATCTTAAGGAAGTGAATGAGGTAACCATAAATACAACACTGTGAGCCCTTATGAGCCCTCAACCTTATGAGCCCTCTTTTTGCTCATATTATCTGCACTTGGAAGAGGGAATTTTGAAATATATATTTTTGTCTCCATCATTTTTGCATTAGAGACCAGTAAATAGAAAAAGTATTTCTAAATGTTCCACTAATCTCTGAGCAGAGCTTCATTTAGGGCTTTTTCTGCAACTGCGTATATTCTTTTCTTGGAAACAGTCATTTAAGTGAAAGTTGATCTGTGTAGATGGTCACAGAAAGGTAATTTTGAGCTTGAGGTATATTTAATGTGCTAAACCAAAATAAGATTTGGGAAGGAAGGGGAACAATTGATTTCTTCAGCTGATAAGCCAGTTGAAGAAAGAAAAATCATATTATGAAATTTAGAGTGACCAACTGCCTGCTTTAAAACACTGAATTAAAAATCCATGAAGATACATTGAAATTGAATTGCTCATGGAAAATGTGGATGACTATACATGTTAGCTTTTACAGGGTTTCTTGGCAGTTAAATGTATACAGTTACATTATACAATTTCTGCTAATAAATGTTCCAGTCCTTACTGAAGATTTCAGATACTGACAATACATTGACAGTTCAAAAGATCGTCTATATTTTTGTTTCTTATCTGTAATATCTCTCAGGTTAGGATGCTTCATATGCTAACATTCTGTACCTCTGAAGAATACATGTGGTCCTGTGTTTTAGTGGAGATACATACAGATAAATGGGTTAGGATACTAGTGTTGTTAATATGATGGCTTCTAAACCCATGTCATTTAGTCTGCTGTCTGTCTACTACATTTTTTACAGATTATATTCTTACAATTAAGAGCAATTATTTTGACAGTTTCATATGGTTTCAGACAAACTATAGGCAGGCCAGATTTTAGGCAACACGCCTCCCCACTTGTATAAATGAAGAATGAAGTAGCTAGCTCTGCATTACTAGTTTTAGCTGAGCTTCATTTGACACTTTTTCTTTAAAATATCAGACTACTGGCTTTTTAGAGATTTTAATTTGTAGGGAGATATCTTGAGTAATGTACAGTCCACAACAAATTTAACTATTCACTAGACAAGTACTTACAAGATTTCAGCTTTTGTTTACAGTCTTTTTTATATTATGCCTTATACACATTTAATGACAGTTTAGGGCATAAAAAAAGTGCTCGCTCTCTACAGGTGACTTTGTTGTCATTGTTCATGGTTTTTAATGACTGTTGTTTGTCTTCTGAACTGTTCATACGGGGTGCAGAATCCACGGTGGCTATTGACAACCAACATGTGTGTTGCTGCTTGTCAGGTCAATAAGGAGAAAATCTTTGGAGTCCTGGGAGATCTGCCTGTGTTGAGCTTCTGTGTCAGAGATGAGAGACATGGTTTTGACCCTGGCACATTTACAGGGCAACAGAATATGTATCCTTCATAAGTACTGCAGTTTTTCACATAAACCTCGATTTTTGTTTTAAAGGTAGAAGGAGTTTATTTTCAAAACAGTAGGGCTATGAAAGTTGTGAAGTACCATGTAGCGAAGCAGAAGTAACAGAGAAATTATAAACAGTGAAGTGCTGTCTGAAAAACACACATGTCAAAAAAAAAAAAAAAAAAAAAAAAAACATTTTTTGAAGATAACTGGCTACAATTTAACAAAGAAAAAAAAAAAAAAAAAAAAAGAAAAAAATCCAGGAAAGAAACATAGTGGGAAAGAACTAGTAGAAAATGGGAGATAAAGGAAGAGCCAGATGGATGAAAGTTTGTGGATGGTCACAGCAAGGAATGTGTGAAGAAGTGGAGGTTTGTTCCTTGCTAAAAGCACAGCAGGCTTTCAGGGTTAAAGAGATAGGAACAAGCATGCTTTCGAGGTAGCTTTCAGGATTCTTATGCCAAAGTCAAAGCTTCTAATCCTCTAAATGAGTAAAGGGTATAGCCATATGAACAAACTCGTGGTTCTAGCCATTGCCATTCATTTTTGTCTCTCTTTGTTGTGACAGAAATTTTACATTACATGAATGCAAAAGGTTTTGGACAATGATTTCAAAGCAGAGTATAAAAATAAGGCGTGTTTTTATAGGTGTGAAAAGATCATTTCTCCCAGCTCAAGTCAGTAGGTAATCTATAACCTGGACATAGGAGTTATTTGGAGAGATTCTTAAATATCAGGAGGATGGTCCAGGGAGGTTGCTGCCCTTTAGAAATTAATATTGGGGAAAGCAAACAGCTTTCAGGAATGCTGAGGCTTGGTTTTCTGGCTCTTGTATAGTGACAATTGTAGACAGGTAGGATTTTTCTTGACAACAGAATCAGCATTGGTAGCTCTTCTTACCAATAAAATCATTCTTCGTTCAGCAACACTCTATTTGTTGATATTGCTTGTACTTGTATACACTGCTGCGTGATGACGCAAAAGATTTTGAGGGTTTTAGCTTTTGGTACTGCAAAATATGTTGTTAAACATGAAAACATATCCCCCAGTCAAATCTGTCCTGAGAAACATGGTTCAGAGAAAGCCATACAAACCGTTGGCCTTTTTTCTGCTATAGATGAACTTCTCACCCTCATGCATTTCTCACCTGGTGATATCTTTTCCCCACTGTGCAGCAGGAGATGAAAATCTGGCAACTACCAGCTCTCACTCACCCACGTCACCTCCACCTGCACGCTCCACAGCACTCTCACCTCCAGGCACCACTGAAGGTAACAACTGATTCAGGACTGCGACATTGCTGCTCTTCTGTTTTAGCTGAACTGGCATCTACTTCTATCATACATTTGTTAATTCCATCCCAGTTAAAGCAATTTGGTAATTTATGTTGTTTGAGGTCAATTATATTACAGCAACATTTTTTTATATGATGGAGACATATTTGGATTTTTTATTTGAATTAAATCAAAGTTGGGGATTTGAAACATACTTTTCAAAGAAAGTGATTAGAATTCAAGCTATAGCATGCTGGTTTTATGAGTTCATATTTTCCTTATGGGGCTCCCTTTCCCCTTGAGGTCTCAGATGGGAGTTTCATGTTGACCTGTGACAGTGGCACTTTCCTGCGACTCACAGAGCTCCTCAGGCACCAGAGACATATCTGATGGTTGAGACAAGAGGGTCCTTCCTACATCAACAACACAGAATAAACCCACCCCAATCAGCCTGGGTTTTTTTGCAAGCTGCATGTTAATTCATCCCCTTCAGCTGGTGTTTTCAAACAACTAAAATCAGTGCATCCCCACCTTGCTAAAGGATGAATAAATCTTTTCACCACAAAGGCATGTCAGAAAATTGGTGGAAATTTGGAATTAGTGGTCCACAGGCCTAATTGCAAGCCATGCTCTTGCAATAAAGCCAAGCAGATGTGTTGCACAGCCTATGCACAAACTGGAGAGCAACGTAAATGTGTTCTTTTTGCCAGTGCTAGAGGGAGAAATATAATTCAGAGAGCAGCTGGGAGCCTTTCTGGTTCCAATTAACTTCTCACTTTCATGCATTGCTCACCTGATGATATTTTTCCCCGCTGTGCAGCAGGACATGAAGATCTGGCAACTACCAGCTCTTACTCCCCTATGACACCTCCACCTGCACGCTCCACATCACTCTCACCTCCAGGCACCACTGAAGGTAACAGTGGATTCAGACTGCAGCATTGCTGCTCTTCTTCTGTTTCAGCTGAACTGGCGTCCACCACAGCCTTCCTTCCCTAAGGCGGCACGGCACGAACTTCTGGCTCAAGGAAAAAGTGATTTTTAATGCGGACGATATCAGTCCACATATCATATGTTTGGTATTTTGGGGGTCTGGTTGTTGCTACATGCTACTACATATTACTTAACAGCGTGTAATTCCCTGGGGAAAGCTCAGCTGATAGTTGGGAGGAAGGAATGTTTATTTTTTTTATTTTTGATGCATTGATGCATGATTGTGTTCAATTCCTTGGAAGTTTAATTTACACTTTCTCCTTCTCTTTCCTTTTTAAAGGAGATGAGTCAACAAGTACTACACCTGGTAAGAAACTTTTAATTTATATGACAGAACTGCATTGATGTTTTTTTCTGATAATCTCTTCTTTCCTTTTCCTGTACACCGTTATCTCACAGAGTGTGTAATGCCCTTTCATTCAGCCCAATGAAATGAAATATGCTGTCTTAAAAGGCAAGAACACTAGACTAGTCTGGCTTTGAGTCATAAATTTGAGTATATTTTGAAATACATTTAGCATGAAAAAGGTACAGTCGAGTGCCAAGAAAGCATTAGACTGACATCTAAGGTGTCACCTGACACCTGTTGGACCCCCTAACACATTGAGTGTTTGGTGTGCCTTTGCTTATTAATAAATTCACAGTGCATCTGTATGAGAGTGCTCCAGCACAGCAGCCCTGTGTTGTGTGCAGCTTTGTGTCCTTCCTTGAACGGGCAGCCTCTGAAGCATTAATGAAAATGCTGTACCTTTCACCACAGGTGTCTCTCCTTCAGACAGCACATACCTCTCCACGCATGCAGGCTCTGTCCCTGCCATGGGACTTGGCACCCCACCACGCAGCAGCACTGCTGCCCTCACCACACACACTGCCACTGCCTTGAAGAATGCTTCATCAGGTTTGCCGTCTTCCTTTAGATGCCGCTCACTGCTCTCTGAACTGTAGGGGCAAACTAAGTAATTACTGTAGGGGAAAACTAAGTCATTCAGCCTCAGGATAATCTTGTCCAGCTAATGGTTCATCAAATAGAAAAGGTATCTACAATTTGGCATGGTGGCAATACCAGATTTAGTTCCAGGACCTGGTACGTGATGGCCAAGTCTTGTGGTCATCACAGTAGTATCAATATGTTATTGATACTAGCTGTGATACTGCTGTCAGGGAGGCTGTTGTCAAAGCAAGAGCAATAGGAATGGACCTAAAAGAGAATGTCGAAACCTGTCAGTGGTTTATAAGCAGGGAGATAAATACTGAGATATAGTAGGTAACATAGTGAGCAAGTTGTGTGATCTGGCAAACGAACACCGCTGGAATGCTTGTTTCTAAGAGCACAATCACTATTTGTGATTGTATTTTCCTGTAACAACATAGCAAAATGCTTTAGAATTTCCCAGTTCACAATTATTAATACCATTTTTATGTTGACTCCAACCTGGATTATGCATAAATGACTAAATAACCCTATGCTTGTACATTGCAAAATTCATTAGTAAGTGGTGTATTCCTAAAACCTTGCTCTCTATTTAAATACCCATTTTCTGGGTTGTTTTTTTTTTTATATGTTTGCAAGATTTTTCTGTTAGCACTCTTTTCTAAATTACAAAAATCCTGGAAGAAAAAAAAGAGCAGAGAAAGGCTGTAGTGTAAGACATTTCTGGTGACATAGTCATATGAAATCATTAATTTTACTTTTTAATGCTGATATGTTGTTTATTTCCTTTCAGATTATTACAGTTCAACATCCTTGCACAGCACCATCTCATCAGTCAGCACGCCAGCAAACACTGGGATCTCCCCCACTCTCACTATAGGTGACAAACTTGCACACAGTTATCGCAATTATGATACTGCAAGCACAGAAAATATGTTAGAATGAGGGAATTAATTTTGAATTTCATTTATCAAACAAGCATACAAATTAGGTGTACAACTGTGTTGAACTTCAGGGTGTTTTTATGAATCTTATTAACAGTTTATAAGTAATATTAAAGATACCAAATTTGCTACTTGTCAAGCAAGTGAAAAATAGAAATTATTTCCACACAATGGCATAGTAGGAGGGTAAGTCTGTCAATTACTGTCAGTACTCCTCTTGATAGAGGAAATTTGCCCAAGCAGCAAAGGAGTATGAATACATCCACAGATCTGTGTGCTTCTCTGTTTTCTGGTGGCTTCCCTTTCCTTTCACTCAACATTAACATTTTCCTGGGATCCAATATTGCAAGCACTTACCCACAATATTATTGCAATTGGGCTGTAAGGAATTACTCAGGTCAGTAAAATATATGTGTACATCCAGGTGTTGGACTCTTACCATCTTTGTAACTGCCCTTCAAGTAGATACAAGTTACTATCAGCTCTTTGCGAGACTGAGCTTAGCTTTTACTTGTGGGTCTTCTGCCTCTAGCCATCTTGGTAAGTCTCCATTGGATCCTCTCAGTTTACCCTCTCAGTAGGGGTGCTACTCAGCCAGATGACTCCTAACCCAGAGAGAAGCAAATCTAGGGCCTGTCTTCTATGGAAAAAAATAGATATCAGTCTCTTTTGGTAACATTATACCTTAGTATATTGTAAGAAATTGTTTCAGGGTGAAGTTCTTTGCTCAAGCTTCCTTAGATGTTTTCTAAATACCGGCTCGTAATTTCTTATGGTTATTTCAGTGTAAAAATAGTTGTAAAACAGTCTGTACTGTTGCATAAGTCTCTTTCCAAAGGTAAGAGACACTTGTCCAAAAAAGCAGGTAAATTTTGTTTTTTAGTGACATTGCATGCTGCATATTGCATACTGCATAACCATAGTTAGCCATTCCAAAGCATACGTATCCTGGAAAACAGCTATAGTTTATCATACCTCCATGAGATTGTGTGATTTTGGAATATTGTTGTGTAACTTTGTATGCAGAAATGCTACCAGTTTGATTTGTAGTCAGTGATGTCATTGGAAAATTATGAAACACACGTGATCCCTAAAGTAACTAGTTAAAAAATGAGGTTGTATGTAGCTGATGTTTTCTTCCCTTTTTTTAATATGAGTTGAGAGCTAGATAATATTACTTGTATTGAATATAATGAAGGAATAGTTTTGGGCAGCACCAGTCACCCTCCTCTAATGCTCTGTGAAAAAAACCCAAAACTTGCTGATCTGCAACTTTATTTTGTTTTGTCTTCTTATAGGCACTTCCACACTGACAACTGAAGAACCTTGTGGTAAGAACCAAACCCCTTATTTTTCTCAATCCTGAAATTTGAACAAATCAGTGGACTCAAATACAGAAAACCGATCGGTAAAACAAATTGATCAGCTTGCATCTCATTAATTTTTTTATGAACTGTGTTCCAATTCTGGAAGAGTAGGATTAAACATATTACATTTGTGGACTTGTCATCTCCATTTACAGTTCTGTTAAACTGCACTGCACTAGGCTGTTGATATCAGGGCTGCAGAAAAGATCTGCCTTCATTCCACTAGGCCCTCACTAATTTTTCCCCATCATGTTGATAATCACATGCTGCAAACTGCATTTCATAGCTAAAGTAAAACTAAAGTTTAGACATTGGTTTGTATCTCTTTAGAATGAGAGATCTCTCCTTTCTAATTTTCAGGAATAGACTAGAGCCATTAATTATGAGATTATTATGAAATACTTTGAATTAGAAAATTTGAAATTTCTGTTCAAATGATCTAATGTGTCAAAACAAAGTATTTCACTTTGAACTGACATTTTAAAGTAAAGCACGTTTCTGGTAAAGCATCTTTTTAATTCTTTAGTTTTCCTAACTGGAGAATTATAAAAAAAAATATTTTCCTAAGGAAATTTTCTGTTATTTTATTTTCTGATTCTTAAAATACATATGATGCTAAGGCTGCCATAAACCATTTAATGGTTCTTAAAAATTGTCATAAAATAATATTTTATTATTTTATCTTTTTTTTTTTTTTTAGATATTTATGTTGACTATGATTTCACTCAAAGTGGAAAAGATGAGGGAAATAAGGTTGAAGTTACACTGAAAAATCTCACAGAAAACAGAAACTATACTATTTCAGAGGTTAATGAAATCGTCAGTGTGAATTCCAGCACAATAGAACTTGAGAAATGCAAGAAATATGAAGTTAAATTTAAAGATTGCTCCACAGCTCTTTGTATTCAGCTGCCTGGTAGGTACAGAAGGGCTATAGTAGTTTCTTTTTTTTTTTTTTTTTTTGACATGTGGTAACTTGGTTTTCCTGGACTACTTAGTCTATTCTTGTTTCTATTGTATTCTCATGGAATGTAAAAAATGTAAAACGTGAAAAAATACGGAAACTTTAACTACATTGGCCATATGCAGCGTGGCTAGGAATAGCAAGACCAGCCAGCACTTGAAAGCTACTATTTATGTTGGATGTTTTGTTCACTAAAGAGATTGGTTAAAAGTTTAATTTATTATTTGAATACCAGCATTGTCTTTATCTCATGTAGGCTTTTTCAATTTTTACTTTCCATTTATTGTTAAATTCTTTGTATATTGTTCTGTGCCAATTGTATCTTCATACTGCAGAACAAGTCAACAAATATATAAGAACAAATTTCTATTTAAAGAATCAATATAGCCAATGTCACAGTCACATATAATATTAATCCTTTTCAGAAAGCAAAGATCTGTGGCAACAAAGGGCATGGACTCCGCCAAGTGATGAAGTGAAGACGTTTAATGTTTTATTTTTACAGCATATATAGTTTCTCTCTTTTGATCATGTGCTGTGCTCTCTACACGGATAGGTTGTGGGAGCCTGGCCACCTGCCGTTATGAGCAATACAATTGGCTACAGATAAGCATTCATGCCCCCAGCCAATTAGTCGTTATTATTTGTTTGTTATATTGTTATCTATTTGCTAGCTTGCTAGCTATTTTGTTGTCTTCACGTTACCATATAAGGACATTGTTTACTGTTTCAAAGGCTTCCATCCCATGCCTGCGGGAACACCTCTCTATCTCACGCTCAACAGCACCTCTCGAGAACCAGGTGCCTTAGAATTTGGGAAGATAACCGACACATCTGCAGAGTTATGTTGGAACGAGCCATATAACTATGCTGATGTGACTTTTGACTGCACAGGTAAGACACTTCTAAGATATTTTAAAAGTTGGTTATTTATTTATTCTTTTGTTTTTAAAAGCAATGCTGATGTTACCTTTTTGATGAGAGATTTGCAGATTTAAATTAATTGTGACGTTTAAGGGAAGGGCTATTCAGAATTTCTGGGATCGCCAGGTTAGGGACTACCATCCCCACGCACTGGAGATCTGGGGAAAGTTCAAGCCCTAAGAGCTCATTTCCTCGGTTTATCAGCTTCACAAATGGCAGACTTCTGAAGATTATGAGCTTCTGCTTGATGGTCTGAAAGGGAGATTGGAGTTTGGAAATCCTGCAATCCGTGGGTCTGCAATGAGCTTATTCCCCCTTGCAGACTACCCAGGCAGCTGGCTTTGCAGGCTCCTAGATAGCGAGAGTCCAGGTTCTCTGCTTTTGGAGCCAGCCAGCCTGAGCATGCTGGCTCAAGTGCAGGTAGTCTGCTAGGGAAGGTATGATATGGATGCTGGATGTCCTCATGTGTCCCAGAAAAATACATGAGGAATGTCTGGGGCTGGAGATTTCACATTTCATGGAGCTGAAGAGCTATGAAGCCACTCCAGGGTTCTGCCAGACTCCAATGAAATGTTTTGATTTCTGTGGAAAAACTGTTTTCTTAGAAAGTAAAATCATATGAGTTTTACTAGCAAAAAGTAAAGATCTATGCAAAGTTAGTATAAAGATCTATGCAAACTAAGTTAGTATAAAAGAACCTAAAACCTAGTCATTGGATTCGGTTGTACACTTTTCTGTTCAGAATATTTTGATGGTTTATTGCAAACTATATTGAATAAATATGGTAGAGAAAATCCCAGTTAAAAAGGTGCCATTTTTTGAGTACTAGAAAATATTGTTAAAACTCTTTTTGTATCTACAGATGGAACAGTTGTTCCAAAAGTAAATCAATCTTGTAAAGAGCTGAAAGATTTATCACCCAACCGTGAGTACAACTGCAGTGGTACCATACGTTGTTGTGAAAAGGAGCTTGTCAAAGCAAGCCTCATCATATATACAGATTATGGTGGTAAGTGTAATGTTTATTTTCGCTTTATGTTCCACATATTTCTGGAAACCCCTTCTATGAATCCTGCTATCTGTGTTTCCTGGGGTTGAAGATACATTCTGAGCAGCATGCTCAGCCACTCTCAGGTTCCCCTCCAGCTCCTCTTGTCAGGTCTCCTGCCCTTATGGTTGTTCTTTGACTGCAGTCACAGATGCCTTACTCTCCTTCTCTTGGAGATTGTTGTGCTTTTATTTTTTTGAGAGTGAGAAGATAGCCAAATGTAAGAAAGTTTGAATGATGACAAAAATAACCCAAAACAAACCAAAAAGCAAAACCAAAGGAAAACCAAAACAAAAACCAAAACAAACGAAAGACCAGCACAGCACTGGCCAGGTCAAAATTAAATTCTTGATTTGAAGAAACATGAGATAATTGCAAAAATGTCTCCAGATAAAATGATGTGTTTATCCAAAACATTGTCCTTGGAAATAGCTTAGCTTTTTTTTCGGTTCGAAAAGGAAATCAAATGAAATCAAGTAACTCACAAATCAAAAATCAGGCCAAATATTTAAAGTTTGTTAAAATTATAATGTATAAAGTTTGGAAATGTTGGTCAGTTTTAGCAATATGTGATATTACTGTGTTCACCTTGTCCTGAATTAATTAAATTTATGAAGTTACTCTAATATTATGCTTTTGCATATACGCAGTTTATACATATGTAAAATTTCTTTGAATGAAATAGACTATGAAAAATATTACCGATTGTTGGTTTCTTGCTTTGGTATTCAATGAAATTTAACTCAATCAAAGTAGGTAAAAAGAGGAGTATTTTGCATTTTCATTCAAACATTTCCTTCCCTCCCCATTATTTTTCTTTTACAACAGGTCCAGAAGAACCAGAAATCCTTGAAACATGTCCTGGTGAGAGAAATGTATCAGTTAGCTGGCAGAAACCTAAGGACACTTCAAAGGGTCCTATAGATGGCTATATCGTGAACTGTAACGGTACAGCAGGTATATGCCCCTTTAGTACTGAATAACTCATTGCATGGTTTAATATTTACAGAGCACCAAGCATGATGCATTGATAAACCTGATTTTTTTTTTAAGTTCTTCCAGTTGAACCATACGGTTCTTCAGTTGACCATTTCAGGACACAACTCTGTCACCCTTCATTCTTGTATTAAGAATAAGTTATGACAAGATCGTCAGTTGTCTGATCAGTTTGTAGCATAGCGCTCTGTCTCAGAAAATGCTGCTGTAGGTGGTTAATATATTGTCTGAGAAGAGAGGGACCTGCCTTCTGAGTAACAGCAATGTATGTAAAAGTCAGGGGTCCCAAGTATGGCAGTTAGCATATACATGTTTAGATGGGTAAAGCCAATTAGTTGTCTTCTACTAAGCGGTCACACCTTTCAGATATGCTGTTTTAGGCCACCTTATATTTAGATGGCTTAGTCTGCATCCATTGCACTGGGATCATGTTTTCCACGGTGAGCTTTTCTCAAAGTGTGAGCTTTTCTTCAAAACAAGGACTAGAAAATGATGTTTTGAAAATGAAGAGCCTGATACACGATTCTAGGAAATATATATTATTTTTAAGCTAGTCCTGGGTTAATTCATTCTTTCTGTTCACATACTGAATGTTTTTTAAACCAGGACTGCTACAGGAACCAAAGGCTGTCATGCCCATGTGCTCCCCAGATACAAATAACCTCTCCCACTCCTCATGCCCTGAGTTTGACCACTACCCACAAGGACGGCAGCCCCGAGCACCAGTTTCTGTGGTTGGTCTGGCTTGTAGTATAGCAGACCAAAGTAGTATGCTGGGGGTAGGGAGGTCATATCTGAAGCAGCCAGAAGGAAACACGGAAAGGCCATTGCTCCCCAGTTTCCAAAGCCACCAAAGCCCCAGCTGCAGTGTGGGAAATTGCTTTGCTCACGTTGCTTCTTGGGCAACTCCTTTCTGTCCTGCTGGCCATTAACTGCTTGCACATGACATCTCTTGTGTCATACCAGAGCAGGCTTGTCCTTCTGTCATCTGTCTACTAACCTCTTCCCAAGATGAACACAGAAGAATCAGCCTCTCTTTATCAATGCAGTTTATGTTAGTTTTTAATTACACACATTTAAATGACACAATGAGAAAGTAAAAAAGAAAACAGAAGAAACCCTCAACTTTCTACCTTTTTGACTGGGGAATATAATTTTTCCTCTTCTTGAGCCTTCACTTAGCAAGACAAAACAACCAAGTACAAGGTAATTAAAACAGAAGTACACATGACAGTGGTTTCAGGTAGCTCTGATGAAATGTAAGATTTCCTGTGCTCCTAACATAAATTTCATTAATTTCATTAATTAATTTAATTTTTCATTTTTTCTTAAAGAGGATGTTGAAGTAGAAAATACCAAAAACTTTGTTTGCGATGGATTAAAACCTTTCACCAAGGGTGAAGGTTCTGTGACTGCATATACACTCAGCCGATATGACGGTACAAAAATTATGGGAAAACCTGGAATATTTAACTCGTCAACAAAATCAGCAAGTAAGTCTCTCATTTGCTCGCTGTTACGAACAATGCTGCTACTAACACAGGGAATATATACTTTCTTATTATACTTTGTTGTATTTTATATGTTACTACGCCTAGCCAAGAAACTGATTAATATTAAAAGAATTTTATTGACATTCATATAATTAATGTTTCTCTTTCAATTACTTAATGTTATTCTCTGTTTAATTATGTGTTTAGTATTAGTATTATGTTATATATTAAAAAAAAGTTTTAAAAAGATCTACATTCATTTGAAATTCTTGATAAGATTTTAGAAAGCATTGTGTCTAAAGATTGAATTCTAAAGAAAAGATTCAAATTAAATAAAAAGAGAATGAAAAACATTCACTTTTTCTTTGTGACATGAAAGCTACAAAGACTTGCAGACTGTACCTACTGTTCTGCAGTTGCCTGTTTGCTTAAACAGGTTTGCTGCATTACTCAGGCTACACTGATGGCTGTACTGGGTTTTGGTTAGTTTGGACGTACACATACGTCGTCAGCTTCTAAGACTCCACATTAGGTCAAAGCCAAATGTGTGCCAGCCCTTGTGCTGTCAGAAAGGTCTGCACATCTTTTTGGGACTATACTTTCAAAAACTTACCCCTGTGGTCCTGCTTCTTTGTTATATATGTTCAATTCATAGAACTACAAGAAAAGCTAAAAAAACCCCAAGCCCAACAGACTTTTTATCTTCAGATGTAGAGTCTTGTACTGTTTTAATTCTTTCTTTGAGAAACAAAACCCAAAACCACTCAAAACCCCATGTTTATGTAATTTCTTCTGGTACTTTTTAAGCTTTAGTTCCTCCACCTCCAGACTCAGCTAGTATGGATATACAAATATAGGGAAACTATAATGGTTTATATCTGGTATGATACTAAATTAATATTCCCTTTAATTGCACTGAATAAGCAAAAGATTTTTATTTTTTAAAAAAGATAATACTGTTTTTGTGCTAATGATGTAATGGTAATATAAAGTGGTGACTTCCTTCCCTAATAGCAAGAATAAATAAATCTTTTGTTGCTTTTAGCACTCTGAAAAGTGTATAGAAATGGATATATAAGAACATTAAATCTGACTTCTGTTTTTCTTAAGCTTAGGGAAATGCAGGGGCTTCTGGCAGACTACTGTTGTTTTGAATTTGAATCCTGTTTTTCTGTGGAATATACAGAGCATTTTTATGCATTTTTGTAGACAATCCATTAAAGCGTTGGAATCTCTCTATTACTCTGGGTCATGATCATAATTTTTCAATCTGGTTTGAGAATATCAAACTTTGGAGCCTCCACTTTCTGCAGCTCCACTCATATTTTAATAAATCAGGTGAAGATTACAGACCACAATATAAGTTTATGGGGCTGGAAAAGGGAACCAGTGTTTCCTTATTTTTTGAGAAAATAACAAGCTGCTTGCCTTCATGAATTAATGGTATTTGTTAAACCTTCTCCAACTGTTACAGCAATTGATAACATGATCAAGCAGATAATGGAAGAGTTTCATGGCTTCTTAAACAAGAGAATGTATCAGTGGAGCACAACTCCTCAGAAGTAGAAAAAAACTATAATTTAAAAAATATTTTTCATCTTCAACAAACACATTGCCTCCAGAAATGTTCACTTTCTTCCTAGCACAGCTCTTTCAGTATTATGCAGAATAGGAATCTAACAAATCTGCCCTGTGAATAAAAATGAGCAGATATGTTGTAATCACACACTCAGACAAGTGAAATATCTTGCCACTCCCCACATGGGATATTTCATCCGCTCATAAAGCATCACACATCTTAGCTCTTCATATGAAGAAAAAAGCAACTGTTAATATTAGTAAAGTTACTTTTCCAAATACTAAAATATGCTGGTAACCCCTGGTAGTAAATTTCATTTACAGAAGTCTTGAAACATACACACAAAGCTGTTTCCTCCCGTCTTGTCTGTTCTCCCATGTTTCTCAAATGAGAAAGTGATGTCAGATGCAAGGGAGAGAGTTGCCATGATATTATCTTTGCAGGATGGTTGTCAGTAGAGCTCTGATCTTCCCAGCTTTTTCAGTTCCGCTTCACATCTTTTCCAGTTCAGATAAGCTTATGGTTAACTCAAAATTGATTTTATTTATTTTGTTAAATTGGGACTGAAATTTTTAAGGGAAAAAAAATGTATGAAATTATTAAGAGAGAATCTAACGGTCAGACATGAACACATACAGCTGTTGGAATGTTTGGTTTGAAGTGATGAGAAGAGAACCAGTAACACTTCTTTTGTGAACAGAACCGGACCCAGTGACTGCTGTTGATGCAAACTTGACAGCTGATAATGCTGTCCAAATTACATGCAAAGAGCGAGAAGTGCATGGACCACAAAAAGAATTTAGATTGTTTTGGGAAAATGATGAAATAAGATCCAATAATTGTGATTTTCAAAAAGACAATCTCTTGTACTTGACAACGTATACATTTAAGGTAAGAAGGCTTATTAAATTAAATATAAAAAATATTGCTGTATTTCCATTGTTTAAGCATCTTATACTTGATTTTAGGAAAAGAGGCAAATATAGTGACAAAGGAGTTCATCTGTGGATCTGGAGGCCACAGACGTAAAGAAGTATCTATTACCTCAGAAATAAAATGCTTACGTACCTAACCTATCAATCAGTCCCTTGTGTGCTATTCCACGTAGGTTCTGACAGAATGAAAAATACAAGGTGAATAGATTGTTTGCATTTGGGACAGAAAGAAATTTGGGGTTTCCATAAGTTTTAGAAGAGTTTCTTAAGTATAACTGATATTTTAGTGTTTGTAACACATTTCATTTAGTGAATATGTGTCTGTCAATCGGAGGATAAATATTGGATTTAAGTCTTGAGATAATTGCTTAGAAAGAAATTGTGCAGAATTTTTCACTGTGAAGATTTTTGATTTCTCAGGGACTAGTTAGTGTAAACCAGTTCAGATCCTTTCAAGTGTCCTTCCATCAGCCTTTTACAAGCCAGTTTCTATACAAAATATATAATCTTCTCTTTATAGTCTTCACTTTCCTGAAGGCTTCCTGCTACCTTCTCTTCCTACAAGCATTTCACCCCTTAGGCATTTGTTGCTTGCAAAGCCAATGGTCTTGTGTGATCCCCTTAATGTGGCCAGTAGGAATATTTTTTATATTCTGATAGCTGCCCTCAGTAAAGTTTAGGTAAGAAAGTACCCAGGAGGGATGATGGAGTTTTAGTGCTTTTAGGAATCAGTTTCACTCATTTCCCACAATCTTCTCCTCTTTTCTCTGTGTCTTTCTGAGAAAATGCAGTATCATTTTCATACTACTACTTGAGTAATCTAGGCTGGGTTCCAAGGCTTCGTCAGTATTTGCCCAATGGATTCTGCTCAGAAAGCTTTGTATTTGGAAAATAAAAATGAGGTAGGAGAAAAAGATGCTTGTGTTGCCCCTGTAGTATGAGTCCCCTGCACTCTTCTAAGCTCAGTGAGCAGTATGCCTTATAGAATAAATTGGTTTCTGCTTGGCTCTAAACCCTGGTTAGAGCCCTATTTTTCCCAATTCTTACTGGAAAAAAAGAGACAGCTTTATGGTCTTAAATAGTAATGAAAGGATTCTGGGTCAAGTTATGGACGGCTCAAGAAAAAAAGAAGTCAGATCACCCGTGAGAGTTGATGGATGTCACAGTTCCCTTCTCTCTGCATACTGAGTTGTGTGGGGAATAAACAGGAGCCTACCCAGCACACTTTTTGGTTTAGTCTTGTTTTGACCCCGACTGCTGCACTAGGTTTCTGGCTTTTGCTATTTGAGAAGCTTCTTGCTAATTTCTGCCACCTCTACTACTTCTCTGGATGTTGCCGCCTACGATGGCTGTTTTCCCAGGTGCAGAATTGAGAAACCACCAACCCCTTGAACACATTGGCCTTTTAGAGCAGAGGGTGGGAGCTGGGACACAGCCCTCTGAGTCTTCAGGAGAGGTTTCTCTTAAGGGATCGGGTAGGCTCAGTAAGAACTCAGCCTGCAGTCAGCAATGGTGCTGAAAGCCTTTCTCCTCTCCTTTTGGATGATTTGCAGCAGGAGGTTATTACTACTGAAATCACTATTATCCAATCCTGTTAGTATTCTCCACTGTTTAGTATTACATTTTTAAGTTTAATCATAAGATTAATTTTTCTTCACAAGAAAAGTGTGAAGTATTTGATGTACAAACTTCAAGCTGCCTATTAGATCTGATAGGAATTCCTATTAAGGAAATTTAAATGACTGGATAAATGTAAAATATACTATGAAATATAAACGCATCTAAACAAAGTTAGTATTTTAACACTAGATAAAATACCCAAAAGTTAAGGTTGCAAGAAACCAGCTTATTTAAAAGTTTAATTTGACTTCTATAATTTAACCCTTTATTAATTACTTCCCATACAGGAACTTGTATTACAATGTCCAATTCAGTTGACTATTTGTATGTTTACTGTTGAAGTAAATAAAATGATGACGTTTTACTACGTATTGCATGGTTATTTTTTGAATTTGGGAAATTTGATTTTGATTCGATAAGAGATAAATTTGATTTTTTTCATTGAGATACACCTGATTTTGATTTTGTAACATGGGTCTCCTATTTCACAATTTTTTTTCCCAGTCATCTACATATTTTTGAGTCTAGATCTTGCAATAACTTAGGTGGAAGCCTAAGCTGCACTATAAATGCCGGTACTAAGATTCACATAGCAGATCCTGCTGTCAATGAGGCTAATCTGTGGAAAATAGATGGATGTATTTTGAATATCCATTGTTTTGTTTTAAAAAAAAATGCAGAAATTTTTGCTTGTTAAATCTTAATATCTCTATTATTCTCACCCACTGCATGCAGATCTTAGTGTTCAATGGAGAACATAGAGGGGAACCAGTAACAAGGAGTATAAAAACCAGATGTAAGTAAATATATATAGCATTTTTACTTTTAGACCTTAGCATAGTATAGAGTAATACTGTAAATTGTAAATTCCAGTGTGATTGCTCATAAGTAAAAATTAGAACTGCCTCTTTTTGTAGTTAATAGTTGATCTGCATTTGAAAAAATAATATCCTCATTCAGCATTAATGTAACAGATCCTATTGACAAGTTGTTGATAATAATTCAGAATTATTACACAGCTGTGGTTTCTTCAGGAAAAACTTGAATGCAACTAGAAATTAATTTCTCTAACTTGAATTATTCACTTTAGGATTAATTTCCTGTGTTCAGATCCTACATTTCAGGAGCTGAATATCTGTGACTTGTCAGGCATTCCCAGCTCCTAGATTGGGAGCAGCTGAGAGCTCCACTGCTCAGGTGTACAGGTCACACAGAGCAGGAGACAACCATGGTAATGCTGAACCAGTGAGTGAGTTGTGACATTTTAACAGGTGGACATTGGGAGTTGAAGTGAAAATTTTCTTAGTGAGGAAATAAAATTCCCTCCTTTTCTGTAAGCTTAAAAGTTTTTGGCACTTTGTAATATCAAACTTAAACTAAACACTTAAAAATAATTGTTTAGTTCATTTAAAAAAATAAATCAATAAACCTTTGTTCTAGGAAGTATACAGGTTAAAAAAAAGAAAAACATTTTTAGATGCCATTAATTATATATTCAAGAAATAATAAATGTATTCTTTTTCTGTTGCTAGATAATTCTAAAGCCCTGATTATATTCTTGGCGTTCTTGATCATTGTGACATCAATTGCTTTACTACTGGTTCTGTACAAAATCTATGATCTTCACAAAAGAAAGCTTGGGTAAGCTTCATGTTTCTCTCCCTCTCTTATATAAATGGGGGAGGAGGATTTCTGTTTTTCCACAAGATTTCCCAATGGGTAGTGCAAGAGTGTTCTTAATACTGGGAAAAGACATCCTTTTCTCTTTTAATCCTTCTGAAAGAAACTAAATTTTTGGTGGTTTGTCTGGAAATGCAAATACAATGAAATGGATTTAAAATTTCTCTGCTATACCCTTCCTTAGGGCACAGAAGAACTGATCTGCTAGAACAAAATGTTTTGTCACTAGTTTTGTGAAAAAATATTCACAAATATCTGGAATACCTGTCCTTCATGATTTAAGTTAAAAGTAATGAAATTAATACACACTTTCTTGGAACTCTTTCAAATGCTTATTCACCAAAAAAATTATCTCAGGGAGGCTTTTTTTATTATAAGTCATCTCTAGATGACTTGGCAGTTCTGTAGGACAGTGGATTGCAATAGACGAATGGTCAATGCCCGGCCTGATGACTGTGCCAGAGCCCTGGAAAGCCAGGCCGACTGCTGCTGTTGCTGCAAAGGGAGGTGGTGCAATGTGTGAGGGGGCATTAGCTGCTGGTAGACATGGAAAAATTAAGGCAATTTCTTTAGAAACCTCTCAGCCCTCTGGAAACAGCAGAATCCGGGGACTCGTCTCTTCCAACCCCTCGTTTTCCCTTGCTCTTCACATTAAGTGTACAGGGAGCTGCTCATGCTCAGATGCAAACTTTTATGCTTAGGGAAGCAAAACTAATTTTTCTTGTACAGGTTCAGAGAGTCTAACTTGTTCTTGGCTACTTAGCATTTAAAGTTAATTTCATTGTATTTTGTTTCACAGTGAGCTTCTAATGTGATCATTATGAGCAGTCTTGGTTTTTACATATGAAACTTACTTAACTCATTATCATATGTCTTACTAGTCAAAGCTTTTACAGATGCTTTTGCTTCTTACAGCAATTCTTCTGAAGGTGTGAACCTTGTTGCAGGTGAGTATCTTTATATATTTAGCAAGTGGAAATAAAATTAGTCACATGTCTTGCTGCCACCTTTGGATTGTTTACATTCAAGGTTCTATACATAGATTACAGATATCAACACGGCAACACCTCATTTGGAGAAAATAATACTTCAGTAAATACAAAGCAGAAGTATTTATACGTAAATGAACTGAAAGGTTATCAGTGTTTGAAAAACTCTTATTTATTATTTAATTACAAACCCAATTTTGTTATCACAGTATCTCAGAATTTCAGAGATCATCTAGTCCAACCCCCCTGCTAACGCAGGTTCACCTAGAGCAGGCTGGACAGGAAGGCATGCGGGTGGGTTTTTAATATCTCTAGAGAAGGAGTCTGTTATCCCAGACAATGGTTGTGATATATTTAACCCTGAGAGTAAGTTCAGAATCAAATCAGAATTTAGTTTTCCTGTGCACCTTTTTCAAAGCAAGAATTTAAACGTAAGCCAATAGTTTTTTACTGTAAAATTTTAAAGGCTTTCAGGTCTCAAAGACTGAAACCTAACATTATCTGGAAGTTTTTGCACAACTTTTCAAAGCCTACAAAGAAAGACAGAATCAGTTACTACCAGAAAGCTTCAAGAGAAAAATAATTTATGACATTCAAGAAATTAACTACATTAAATGGGAAGTAATACTGTGCTGATATTCAAATCCATTTGCTTAGACACATGGTTGTTAAAAAACATATCTTTTCAATGTAAATGAAAAATTAATAAATGTCTAGTTAGAGATATTAAAACTTGTTCAATCATTACTTTATCATTGAAGATAATATTACAGATTATTGCAACTCAGAGAATAAGCTGGAGAAAATTTGGAAAAGCAGGCAATATATGTTTTTACATTTGTAGGCTATTTGCACAGCAGTCCATTTTACAAGTGATGATAAATGATCAGAATTGATGTAGAGGGCCAGGCCATGTAACTGCTGTGGGTGTTGGGGCTGTTGGTGTGACCTGAATGTGACAATGGCCATGGTGTACAAAAGTGCCGTTAATGCAATGTCCCAGCTTGTGGCCTCCTCCTGAGGTGTCTCCAGTCGGGCAGCAGAGGTGACCAAGTTCTAATATTCCCGGGGCTTTTTTGCTTACAGCTGGCTCGGACAACACCATTTTTTAGAAAAATAAACACATTTAGTTAAAGAGATTTTTCCTTTTGGTACTTTATATGACAACTTGATTGTCCAATCAATTTTAAAATTAAAAGTATTTACTTAAAAGTAATGTACATTTTCAAAGTCAATAATGATAAATGTTCAACATATTTGCACAGTTAAAGATGAGGACAGGCAACTTCTAAACATAGAGCCAATACCTTCGGAGCAATTGCTGGACACGTACAAGAGGAAGATTGCTGATGAAGGAAGACTTTTCTTGGATGAATTTCAGGTTTGTCATTGCCTCAAAATATACCAAGATTTGTGACGAGGTGTTTGAAAGAATTCTGTTCGAAAGCATGACTGAAGTATATGCACTGGGTATAAATAAATAATAAGTAAAAAAAAAATATATATAGAAAATTCAGTGAATTCTCATCTAAAGTCAGAAAGGCTTCAGTTAATTTTGCTACCATGCTCTCATTATAAGATGATGGTATTTTCTTTTTTTTCCCTGAAGGTGTTTTTCAGCAAAAGTATAAAATACACAGTCTAAATAGTTCCCATTCTAAACTACCTTTAAATGCATATTTTTAATACTCTCCCTTACTGCATAGACATGGAAATATAAATAATATATAAATGTGGAGATATAAATTATTTATATTAAGGGAAAAAATTGTTTATTTTAAATGTAAGAAATACATGAAGTAGTATCATATGAAACAGAATGTTATCTTCCAGACTCAATAGTATGAAATCTCTTCCATATGCATTTGACTGTCAGTAGAAGCTCTTTTAGATACGTGTTACTTAATAAAAGAAACATTGTATTTTACAGAGTATTCCTAGAGTTTTCACTAAGTTTTCAATAAAGGAGGCCAAAAAAAGCCAAAATCAGAACAAAAACCGTTACATTGATATCCTTCCATGTAAGTATTTGCTACAATTTTTGCATGTTTTATAAATATTTTAAAAATGTTTTCTCAGTGCTTTGAGATAATATAATTCTTTTGTTTCAAATGATTTAAACAGATGATCATAACCGTGTTGAGCTCTCAGAGATCCCAGGAGACCCAGGATCAGACTATATCAATGCAAGTTATATTGATGTGAGTGACTTCTACTTCAAAAAAGTCTTAGGCACTATTGAGGAAATTCTGTAGTCTGTACATTTCATGTATCAAACGCCTTTGAAGATTTCCATTTGAGTTCTTTCCATCTTTGTAATACATTCAGTATTATTGGACTGTTGCATGTTGAATTTATTTTTAAAATTGCAAATCTTTTAAATTGTTTGTGGCTTCCTTTCTAAAAGTTGATAATATTGTACTTTTTATAGGGCTTTAAAGAACCAAGAAAATACATTGCTGCACAAGGTAATTTTTAACCTCAAAAGAGTATGTTTTCTTTATTCACCCATTTTTTTAAGAGTAGTAAAAATTATTAGAAAATTTAAAGAAAAACTGATAATCTGACACTTTGAAATTTAGTATGAAAATGTTACAATGAGCTTTTGCTTAGGGTATTTTGTGAAGATGAATAAATTGTACTTCAAAGGTAGATTTCTCATGGTGTATAATTTTACACCAAAAGTTTTCAGATTTCACAGCTGGGCACTAAAGGTGTATAGGAGGCTTTTTAAATGCTGTATCCTAATGGCAAGCAGTCAAAATGAAATCAAGTTGTGTGGCTGTTATTTGTGTGAACTCTGGTTCGCTTTTCAGACTGCATAGTTAAGCATGTCAAGAGGCCAAGTGTTTTTTCATGTACTTTCACTCTTTGAAAAACTCCCTTGAAATATCTCCTGCTAGGCCCCAAGGATGAAACCACAGATGATTTCTGGAGAATGATCTGGGAACAGAAGGCAACAATTATTGTCATGGTGACTCGCTGTGAGGAGGGAAAGAGGGTGAGAAATATCCATCCATACGTACATCCGTCCATCCTTCCATTAATACATCTTTCCATCCTTTTGTCTGAAATGGAATCGATTGCTGTGCTGTGGTGAATTACACGTTCTTCTTAGTACTTTTTTTCATTCTTTGTTGTTCTCTTGGTGTGGCAGAACCTATGTTGGAAAGCATACCAAAACAGTGTTGCCTTATGGAATTACTACTCTTATCAGAAAATGTCACTTTAGTCAGAGCTGTAAGTAGTAGAGGATGAGATTCCAAATTACAGCTAATAAACCCAGAGAAGGCTCAAGGTAGTACTCTAGCTCCTTACAGACCTGTCATAAAAAGTATGGTTTGTATTTTTCTCCTGTCTATTTTCTGGCAACCCCCCCCGTCATGAAGACTGAAAAGTAGCCATAGAAGCAGCTAAAAACTTTTCTACGGGCTTCAGGCAACAGCAGCTGTAGCTGTTCACTGTTTCAACTAGTGTACAGGATTTTTTTGCCACTTTATGATTCAAGTTAAATTTAATGGGTATAAAATTCGGGTCAGAGATCTGAATTGTTGGATATTTGGAATTATTTAGCACTGACATCCTGAGCAGTGACCACCAGTTTGGGAGAGGACAAGACCTATGAGAAGTTAAAAATACTGTACTGAGTTGCTGTCTATTTTAAATCAAACTTTCTTATAGCTCTCAGCTCTCTACCACTTTGCTGTCATGCCACTCACCTAGCTTCCTGTCTTCATAGAACAAATGTGCCCAGTACTGGCCATCAATGGAAAATGGTTCTGCAACATATGGGGACATAATTGTGAAGATCAATGAAAGTAAAACGTGCCCAGACTATGTCATTCAGAAACTACACATCACAAACGTAAGTTGATTCGAATGAGCAAGATTAACTGGAGTTGGGGGGGTCTATTTGGAGTCTGTAGGTATCATTGAGAGATCATTGAGCACCTGAGGGAACTGGGATTGTTCAGCCTGGAGAAAAGGAGGCTGAGGGGAGACCTTATTGCTCTCTACAACTACCTGAAAGGAGGGTGTAGAGAGGTGGGGGTTGGTCTCTCCTCCCAAGTTACAGGAAATAGGACAAGAGAAAATGGCCTCAAGTTGCACCAGGTGAGGTTCAGATTGGATATTAGGAAATTTTTTTACACAGAAAGGGTTATTAAGCATTGGAATGGGCTGCCCAGGGAAGTGGTTGAGTTGCCCTCCCTGGAGGTATTTAAAAGACAGTTAGAAATAGTGCTCTAGTGACATGGTTTAGTGATGGTTTTTGTCAGTGTTACTTTGGTGGTTGGACTAGATGATTCGGAAGGTCCTTTCCAACCTAGACAATTCTATGATTCTGTCCTTTTAAGTGGAGAAGAGTCAGCTATCAATGGAAGATAGTCTGCTGCTTTTCCATAAGCAGCATATAGTTTAAGAGAAAACTTCTTAGATGTGTCATTCCTTACAAGAAATATGTTAGACATATATTTCCCAACTTAAAAAGGTATTTTCCTTCCTGGAATCTACATTTAAGAAGAAACAGTTAGTATGCTGTTAAGTATGGAAAACTAATACACTGTGGTTTCCTTAGATATTTAACTTGTTCTTCCACACAGAAATTTTATCGGGTTTGTGTATCTAAGCATAACCTTCTGTAAGTAAAATTAATGTGACTCATAGAGTGCTATTACCTACCCTCACGATAATAGTACAGTGGGACAATTGCAAATTCTGGTAATCTCAAGTGCATTTATACACATAAGTGTTTTAAAATTACAATTTGGCTGTGTGTAGAATCATTAAGGCTGATTAATGGCTCTCTTTTATACATCTAAAATCACATTAGTTGCTCTGTGTGTAATTGAGAACAAGATTTGCTGTCTAAGGCTAAATGCTCCTTTCAGGCCCTTTGCAAAAATATATCAATGAGGGTAAATGGAGCATAAGTCATAGCTAAAAGCATTAAGACTCAAAGGGTAAATCAGCTGGCAGATCTTTAGCAAAATAGTGAAGCAACAGACTTCATCCATCTTGATCCATGATTACAGCTGGAAATTTCTATTCTGCCTCTTTCCTGTTCTTCTTCCTATTAATGCATGTTGCATTACAATTTACTCAGGAAGCAGTCTGATTAAAAGAAAGTTGTAACTTAGTGTGAAGACAGTAAGAATATCAGGATGTTAAGAATTAGCTATTAACAGACATTGCTTTGTAACTAGGACAATCTGACATTAGAAATGAGAGGTTGGTGCAGGTTGAGGACTGATATGTTTAGGGCTGTCTGCTCTCTGTTTGGCTGACATCATATTAATGTAGATAAAACTGATCTTGGTTGTGGAATTTAAGACCCTGGTGAGAAAATGGAGGCTTGTGCAGTTCTGGTGGAATAGTGATGTTTAATTTCTGAAACAAAAGTAAATAACTGTATGAATAATTGTGGCACAACTGGATAATTCAACTTTGAGTAAGAATTTGGGGGTTAATTGCTGGGGAAATGCCAGCAATACTAAATACTAAACTTAGCCAGAAAAAGAATGCCATTAAGATGTCTTTCTCGCTTTGTTTTTTATAATTGAGGTTATCAAAATGTATGTTCTCTCTTTTAATGTAGCACCAACAGTTGAAAGTAGGACTCAAGACTTGACATGCTTGCAGCTTTAATCAAGAGACCGCAGAATCAGTGTCATTGAAAATCATAGGTTTTCTTCTATCTACTTCTAAACCATAGAAGTCTGAGTTACAGTTTAAATGTCTTTTTTTTTTTTTTTTTCTTTTTTCCTAAAATCTGTTGTACCCTCAGCAGGCTACTCCTAGGAGACACTAGTGAATTACCAACTTGTACTCCTTGAAGTAAGCAGAGCCAGGTTGTTTGTGAATAGATTGGGAAGACCTGTTATACTCTGGATCATAGGCTAACCTGAGAAAAAAATATTTTTAGCAACACTTTGAACCTCCTGCTTGTCCTCTGTTGGAGGCATTGTGTATTCCTGATTCGTGGACATTTTTTAATGAATATTGAATATGAAAAAGGTTTTAAACTGAGAGACAACATTGCAACACCGTGTTTGAAATTTCCATTTCAATATTTGCCCTTATTTTTATTCTGCTTTGTATTTCTGCACTTGATTTTGGCTTTGTGTGTACGTGTATATATATACATATATATATAAAAAACCCAAACAACTTCACTTTGTCTAGGGAAGAGAAAGGACAGCTGGAAGAGATGTCACTCACATTCAGTTCACAAGCTGGCCAGACCACGGAGTCCCTGAGGATCCTCATCTCCTTCTCAAACTCCGACGCAGAGTTAATGCTCTCAGCAACTTTTTTAGTGGCCCAATAGTGGTTCATTGCAGGTAAATATATATGTATATTTAAATTATGTTAATCTTAAATGAACATGAAAAAAACAAAGAGCTGGTAAAGGTATTTGGCTGATGCCAAATTTTGTTATGTGATTACTGGAGAACAAGGTAGCAAATATGCATAAAAGGGCATGTTTTCTGAAGGTTATTCAGGTCAATAAAATCTGAGGACACATAGACCTTTGAACATTTGGAAATTAGACAGATAAATGTCAGACTACCGTGGCCTTACTTTCATTAAAAGATATTCAACATACAAACTCATCATTGTTTGTGTTGCTAATTAATTTACAGCAAGAACTGTTTTCAGTTGTTCCATATCCCGTTGTTACACATTTTCACTTCCGCTCCCTCACTGACTGCGCCCCTCCCGTGCCATTCCCTTTGATAACCAAATCCCTTTGTGCTTTGCAGTGCTGGTGTTGGGCGCACTGGGACGTATATAGGAATAGATGCCATGCTGGAGGGGCTGGATGCAGAAGGCAGAGTGGATGTTTATGGCTACGTTGTGAAGCTGCGTCGGCAGCGGTGCCTCATGGTTCAAGTAGAGGTATCTTGCTAAAACTCCGGTCACTTAGGACTCTCCTTTGCTAGGGCTTCAGCAGTACTTCTCAGAAATGCACTGCTCAGTCTTGGGTACTGCTACAGTTCAATTGAAGTTCTTCATAGAAAATATGGCTCCGAAAAATATTGAGAGGAAAACTTCCAACACAGTTTTTTAGTTTTAGTAACTTCAACATTTTAAGTTTAGGCTTTAAAAAAGAAAGCCAAGAAGAACATTTTAGATTGATAATCCAGCTTTGGGCATACAATTCACAAATGCAAAATTGAGCTTGCATAGTCAAACTAAATTTTCAAATTCCAAAAACTGTCTATCTAGGTGGGATTTTCAGTTGAGTTGAGAGTACAGAAAAAGTTACAGACTGCAATACCCGTTTTTAACGTATTTAAGCATTTTGCAGATCTTTAAAATCAGTCGCATATTTCTTGAACGACATTAGATTTATTTGCAGAACACTTCATCCAACATACTAAATGTGCTTCAAAATGTCTTATTTGGAAGACACTTTGATTTCTAATACTTGTATTTAATGTCCGTTTAACGTTAATGCTTAATATTATTAGCACTAATAACATAATAGGAGTAATAGTTTCTTATAATGGTTTTAAAAAGTGATATGACTTATTTTTTTAACTCTTCAATAACTTCATTTTTAAACCCTTCCAATGGGAAACAACAGTCACAGTACATCCTTATCCATCAAGCACTAGTGGAATACAATCAGTATGGAGAAACAGAGGTCAATCTCTCAGAACTGCATTCCTATCTTAACAATCTGAAAAGAAAAGATCCTCCAAGTGATCCTTCCCTGCTGGAGGCAGAGTTTCAGGTAAATAAGCATTGTATTCTAGTGCCCTTGCCTCCCACTTGCATTCAAAAGCACCTTGCGCCATAGTCATGAGGAACTGATACCATACACAATAGATCACTTTTGTGCTATTTTATTTCTATGGCACAGTAACAGCTTCTTTACGTTCATGAAAAAAGTTGTATATTAATGAAATTTTATTCCTGCTTTTAATGTTAATATTTTTAACAAAGATGGGGAGCATACAACAATTACTTGTGTCTATGTGTATGATTTCCTGTGCCATTCTGCACAGTATAGCAGGCATTTTTAAACTACAGTCCAGGTGTAACCAAAGTTTAAAGAATTAAAGAAGTGAGGCACTGAGAGATGAAGACTGGGTGTGGGTGCCCAGAGGGGACAATGATCCCAGGAAACATTTTAAGCAAGCATAACACCAAACATCCTCTTTCTTTAGAGATTACCTTCTTATAAAGGGTGGCGGACACAGAACATTGGGAATCGTGAGGAAAATAAAAGCAAAAATAGGAATGCCAACATAATTCCATGTAAGTATTTTCCATTAACCTTGACTTATTTTATCTGTTATCTTATGTAAGAAAACATATTAAATTTTGAAAAAATAAGGACAGTAAATAACCTGAGATGTATTTTATTAATTTCCTCAACATTGTAAAATTAGAAACTTCTCATAAAAGAAGTTTAAAACCAAGAGATGAGTTTTTAAAAATGTGAATTATTGGGAGTGTTTATTTCAAATAAAGTGGCCTTTATTCTGCAGCCTGTTGTGAAAGGACAGCCTTTTCCTCTCTATTTTTCCTCCTGCACGTGCAGGGCCAGCCCCCCTCTAATGCTACCCCTGAGCAGCAGTGTGGCGTGACAGTGACACTTTGTCTCATGCAGATGACTTTAACCGAGTGCCGATCAGGCACGAAGACGAATGCAACCAGGAGGGTGAACATGATTCGGATGATTCCTCAGATGAGGACAGTGACTGTGAGGAATCAAGCAAATACATCAATGCTTCCTTCATAACTGTATGTATTTAGGGGATCCAATATAAGTATTCCACAATCCTTCAGCTAGACCTATATTCTAGCTTGAGCTCTTACTCTCTTACTGGCTTCACAAATAGAATAGGATTTACCTCAATAAGGGAGAAAAATCTGACAGCCAATTGGCAAATCCTATTGTAGTTTTAATCATCAAAATCTTCTATCTTCTACATTTTGCTGCATCTTTTCCTTTTACTTGGTCTTAGACTGTGCAGTCTCAAATAGTGAGACTAAACATAGAAACACTATTATTTTTTGCATGTATGTGGGTTATGTTTAAAACCACTAACTTTCAGACTGGCCTCATGATAACGTGTATTTCTATTGGTGAGCATCTGCCTATGTACAAGTTGATACATATTCATATTTTCCCTGTTAGTGAAATGGGGGTAGAGTTATTCACACATACAAAATCCTACTAGTGAAAAATGAGGCCTTCAGATTTTTGGTATAATATATACCTTCAAAAGAAGGAGAGAAGGTATTGGTCACTAATGAAGTAACTGATTTTAATGGAATTAGTAGCTAAATTCAATTTACCTGAATCCTTTAAAACGCTGCACAGTTAGGGTGTCTATTCAGAGTAAATGTATTTTTCCTTTCGGATAGCTTGGTGTGAACTGACTTGTGCACCAACTTTGTGTGGTATAAATTTGACTTCTTAGTGGTCAAATTAGACAGTTGTGTAGAATTAATTTTTGAGTTTGATGTCATTAGGCTCATAGAATTCCTGTAAGACCATTTCCTACTGTCGTGGGCATGTTTTCCCCATAAACAAAAGGGTTTGTTAGTTTCTTTCACTGGGTATTCTTTAAATGACAATGATTTCTGTTGCTTGACAATCACTTTTCAAATAAATGAAAGAAAAAATATTAAAATTTTATTTTATAGGGTTACTGGGGTCCAAAAGCCATGATTGCAACACAGGGACCACTGCAGGAAACTATCTCTGACTTCTGGCAAATGGTCTTCCAAAGAAAAGTCAAAGTCATTGTTATGCTGACAGAGCTGAAAGAAGGAGATCAGGTGAGGGCATCATCTTGACACGGACATATTTAGGGTCCTCTATATGCAAAGAAAACACTGCACTGCACTCTCTCATTCCCTTCCTCCAGTTAAGTGTGTTTCATAGGGTGAGGGATTTGGATTTCCAACATAATTTGTACTGTTGTTTACCTTCTTAATTTACTTTCTAATTATTTTTTTCAGGGAAAGAGTATATGATGCTGTGTTTTAAAATACAATGATGCTCCTACTACTTTAAAGTCAATACATTCTGTAGGTGCATGTGGAAGTAAAATAAAAAGAGGTTTGAATGGTAAACACTGACTTGTACTTTTATCCATTTTAGGAACTCTGTGCACAGTACTGGGGGGAAGGAAAACAAACACACGATGGAATAGAAGTTCAAATGACAGATGTCAACTGTTGTCCTAGCTATACCATACGTGCATTTGATGTTACACATCTGAAGGTAAAAGCTTCTTTGCAAATTCCAAAAGGAAGTTTTAAATTTGTTTCCCTGTTATAAACTCAGCCTAAAGAAAGAGAAGAGACAATTCCTACTGCATTTTCCCCCTGCTCTAAGGAACGGAAATATTTGTATCTTCCAGACCAGCAGCCAATCATCATAAATGCTATAAAATAACTCTGATTTCCCACTTAGTGAATTGCTGAGATGGTGGTAGTGGAGTCTCAGGAGGTCAGCTGTCTTTCGTATTTTGAGCAAAGCTTGTATATCTACCTCCCTCATATTCAGGAGATAGAACTCACATCACCACGTGCAGTTCCTCAGGAATATTTTTTTTCTTTTTTAAATCAGCTGCAATAGATGTACTACATAAATCTTATTTTAACCTGAACATTGACTACCTCTCTACTGATGTTTTTCAGACAAAAGAAACACAGAAAGTGTATCAGTATCAATATCACAAGTGGAGTGGCTTGGATGTTCCAGAAAACCCCAAAGATTTAGTCAGCATGATTCTCAACCTTAAACAAAAAGTCCCTGTCAGACCAGTTAATGAGGACAACAGGAGTACCCGCAGTGTCCCGCTTGTTGTCCACTGCCGGTGAGTCTGAATTCAGCATATATTTTAACCTAGCTCTAAGGTCTGGATATATGTAGCAACCACAATTTTGGGATGTCTGCCTTTTCCCATAAACCTTTCCATGCGTCTGGAGACTGACCTCTCCCTAGAAGATTCCTTGAATTGCCCAAGCTTGATCTTTTTGATTGTGGTGCTGAAAAGCAAGCACATGCCTCTTTGGCAAGCATGGGCATGGAGTAGGTGGTTAGAGCTAGCTGCTCTTGCCTGGTACACATATTTTGAGAAGAAATGCTAGCTTTTGTAGCATACTACTAATGAGGATACAGCAGAGCTTTTAGGTTCATCTCGCCAGTGCATGAACCCACTTTTATAGGACCATTTCCAGGAATAGTCTTGCATAACATCTAAACCAGAGATAAACCAGATAATCCTACTAACAATTGTTGAGTCTGTAAGTCTGAAATTTCTAATTTCTCTCATACCTCTTAAGTGGCCACATGAGATCCAGATAGCCTCTAGATAAACACTCTTATGAGTGTCCTACAGATATTCTTAATTGTAACAATTTCAGTCCAGTAAAAAATGTTTTGGAAATTTAATTCATTATGCAGTCTTTGAAATAAAGAGATTTAGTCAGAAGGCTCATGATTTTACATTTTTAATTTACATGTACATTTTGCATTATCTTCTAGTGACGGGTCACAGCAGACTGGTGTATTTTGTGCTTTAATGACCCTCTTGGAAAGCGCAGAAGTAGAAGAAGTAATAGATGTTTTCCAAGTCGTAAAAGCTCTTCGTCGCACCAGGCTGGGAGTCGTCTCCACCTTTGTAAGTAAATCTTATGAATTACCAGAAAAAATGGTGATATTACTTAGCATGGTCACTAATATCCTCATAACCTTACGCATCACTTCTGCATAGGAAACACTAATTGTAATCAGGACATCCACAGCTGCTTACCCCTACTCGGGAACTGACTGTTACTGATAAGAATGAAGGAGTCTGTGAGATGTCCAGAGCTGCAATTCTGTAACATCTTAGTGGACAGGTGCACATTATAAAATTACAAATTGCATGAATCAATGATTCTGCAGTTGTTTCAGGGATGTACGTGCGCAGCGTCCCTTCTGTGGAGTTAGGAGGCTAACTCCATTTCACAGGCTAGCAGCCATCAACTTGTTTTATTTAAATAGAGGAACTGCGTCTTTATGGCATACAAACATTTACTAACAAACCAGACCTAGGTGGCATTGACATGGGGCATGTAGTATAGATGGCGTTCCTAGACTCCTTACAATATGTGTTGTTTACAACTTAGGTACTCTAAAAAACATATTTTGGGGACTTTGTGGACAAAGAGGGTACTGAGTGGTAACTTAGAATGTCTGATATAGGCAGTTACAGAGACTACACACACATGAAATCAGAATAAACCATAAAAGCAGCACTGTACACCAAAAACTGTGAAAGCTACTTTATATGCAGTCTTTTGACTGTTCAACTACGTTACATTTTAAAATTTAAGAAAACAGAGAAATAATGGGTTTATTCTTGGGCTCTGAGCATCCTATTCATGCTAACCTCTTCTCTTTGTATGTAAGGAACATTACCAATTTCTGTATGACACCATTGCCAGTACCTACCCTGCACAGAATGGACAAATAAAGAAGAACAGCCAGCAGGAAGATAAAGTTGAATTTTGCAGTGAAGTAGAAAAAACTAATCCGGAAACTGATTTGATCACCATTGATCTTACCCCACCAACACCAGAGGAAAAGGAGGTTTCTGAAGTATGTGATGATTTTAAGGCTGCAGGTAGCACTAAGGAAACAGAAAGCTCTACGAATGGGCCCACAACTCCAGTTCTAACTTAGAGGCTATACTAAAAAAAAAGTGCTTTTTCATGTGCAAACAATCTAATCAAAATAAGAAGTATAAGATTTCTTCTTCTTCCCACCTTTTTCTTTGAAAGTGCTTATTGTTATATCAGGTTTTCAAAGGTACAAATTTAAAGGAATACTTGAAACTTTTAGAGTGACAAAAACCTGTGAAAGTTTAATTTTTGTTTAGATTTGCATTTAATACTTCTTCAGAAACCTTTTCACTATTTTTATACTTTTAAAAATATGTACAGTACAATACTGTCCTGAGCAGTGTGAAGAAAGTTTTTTGACTTCTGTGACAAGGAGAAAAGCAACTCAGAACAAGATTAGTGTGTTGCAAAAACAGGTCTGTCTTCAAAACTATTCGGAAGTAAATCAACATAATTGGTAAGCATACATTCTAGGATTTCAGGAGTGATGACCAAGCACTGCTTTAATAATACTCTGTGGAATTTGTGAGACTTTGCCAAACAGTTTTAAGAGTTTATCATTTACATCATGTGACAAATCCAAGGAATTCAGACTTATGGAAAATCTGTAAGTCCTCCCATATCACTGTGGAATAGAAATTTTTGCATTTTTCTAACTTGCCTCAAGGTGTCCTTGTTGCTCCACATATATTAATCTGAGATTTCAATGTTAAACTAATGTTTTGGAGTTTGGCATTTGAATGATTGCAACGATTCTGATAGAAAACACATTCTGTTTACTCTTAGAGCTTAAAATACTGCATGCTTGCACATCTATTTTTTATGCTTACTGTTATTTAAAGGGACTGCTTCCATGAACGCATCTGACCTGTTTTCAGAAGTGGAAAATACTTAGATGTTTTTCTTCCAAACCTTGTAGATTTTAATTGGTACAGAATTTTATTTTATTTTTTCATTACGAGGTGTTGTATGTTACAGCTGTGATATTTTTAGTATTTCTTGCTGGATTTTAGTATGCTGTTTCTAGAAAAAATAAAAGGATAATTAATAGTTGACAAGGTGGAAATTATTGTCTTCTATTGGATTCTGCAAACTGATAATTTTCTTCTGAATGGACAGAATATTGTGCTATCCCATAAATCAAAAAAATTTACAAATTTCATTAGGAAAACGCCATTTAATTCTTAGGGAACTGTGTGTGAACTCAGGTAAGTGTCATGATTCTCTCATTATAGAGGAAAGAAACTTGATTTTTCTTTTGCTTAAAGTCATTAAAGGAGCAGTCACTCAGCGGATTCAGTCCCTCTACTTTATCACTGCATACTCCTAATCTCTCTTTACAAAACATAATTGAAAATACTTCAAGAGCCATGTAAACAACGCATACAGTTGCACTTGGTTAAAACATTAATTTAATTTCATTGCAAATTATCAGCTCAGACAAGCACTTCCTGGCAGTATTGCATGAATAAATGGCAGCAAACAGTGACAGAGGCAGTGGGTTCCCCTTGACTCCCAGCTGAACTGCCTTTTCGAGTGAAGTTGTGCTGGGTGATAAGCTAGCAAAGCTGAGGGGGGGTCACCTGTGGAGAAAAAGCTAAGATAACCTAAAGAAGATAACCTAAAAAAATTTTAGGCCCAAAGGCTGTTGGGTACTTTTAGAGGACCATGATAAAATTGCAAATTTAGCATATCTTTGAAGATCAAAAGGATAAAGACGGAAAACAATTAATTTTTTTTTTTTTTCTTCTAAGACTTGGCTGCTGTACAGCCTCTCTAGCTACTTTAGGCAATAAAGTAAAGCACTCATTGCAGCTACCTATTGTAAAAGTGTGGAGACAGAAAATAGTCACACTTTTAGAAATAACTGAAAATGTTTCCCAAATCAAAAATTAGGCACAAATTTTCATTTTTGTAAATCTGAGGGCGCTGATGCACTTCAGTTCCTTGAAAAATAGTTCTGTACCTTTTTAAGCTCCTGCAATACCTGGGCTGTAAAAATTCTGGAGGATTTTATTTTGCTTAAATTGTTTCTAGAATTATTTCAATGTTCTTTCGACTGCACATTTTTTTAAAAATGGCTGACACATTAACACTTGATTTGTGCACGTATTTTGAAAGAAAAGTCCTGAGCTATGTTAAAATTTGCCTCATTTGTTCTTAATTTTTAGCCTAATCATTGAAACAGAGCCTTACATTAAAACTGCCCTCATTCGCCTAGTGTAAACCACTTAGGGAGTAAAGTTCCATACAGTCACAAGGGAATAAACTGGGCTCATGGCTTTTAATTGCTTTCAAATTAAATAACACTTCATACAATTAAATCTCATTAAATCCCAGTGTGACAATTGAGGGAACCTGTCTTAAAATAGCTTAGAAGTTCTGATTGCTTCTAGGAACTCTCTGTGTATGTACCAGGGATGGTTTTTGCGTTCTCTATAGTCATTTGAATTTCAAAAATCCACAAGGTGGTGACACAGAGCTTGTGAAAGATGATCATTATGCTGGATGCTGCATAGTCACTTGGTTTATTCACTTGTAGGCTTAATTTTATGTGTCCCAGGAATGAAGTGAAGCATATTACAGGTGAAGCATGAAGCCCAAGCTAATAAGCTCTGCTAGGAAACTGCTCTGGCTGTTAGGGCAAGAGCATCATTGTAGCAGGCTAGAGACAGCATAGCCTTAAAGCTGAGAAACAAACGTGCAAAGTAAGATGCAAAACGTTTATTTTATCGAGTAGAGCTAAGCTGAACAAAGGCTGCTAACCGCTGCCTCAAGCTAAGACTTCACTGTTGTTTGAAAGTTTTGTATGATCTGAAGTCCAGGATAAAAGTAACTAAGCAAGAGTTCAGCTGGGAGAGGACTTCGAGCACCAAAGGAGAATGATCAAGGGCCTATGTGAGCCAAGGGCCTGGACTGCTCCCGCAATTTGCTGGGCAGAAGCTGATAGAAAAGTGAGCATGGAAAAGTGACAGCGCTGTGTTAGCGGAGCCCCGTGTGGGAAGACAGGAAGAGGAAGGATCCCAGAGCCTCCACAAGATTCTGCTTGGTGAGGTAACTGCAGCGGGGAATTAACGGTGTGTTTGCTTTCCTTTAGATTTTTATATGTTTCTTGTGCTCTGTAATGAAAAAAAGGTAACGATATTAAAATCTGTTTCAGAGACTGTACATTATGAAAATGAGCCACGTCGCGATTGTTGAAATAAATGTTATACAACACAAAAAATGGCCGGCGCGCTGAACTGTGGTGGTCAGGGATGCTGTTCAAGGAGAGGACAAAAGCCCTGTCGCTTTCCTGCACCCCAGCTTCTGCTGCCGTGTCTGGGCTCTTGCGGAGCACGTTTGTGCCTGCTCCTTTTCCTACCCACACATGGAGCTGGTGTCCATGAACCCACCCTCACCACATCACCTGAGGCGGCCTATGCTGTCAGAGCCCACAGCCCCCGGCGGCGGGGAGCTCGGTCGCCATTTCCTTGCCCTCATCCTAAACTGATGTGCTGGGAAGGAGCTGGTGGCCACATGCAGGAGACTGAGAGGCTGGACCGGGCCCAGAGATCCAGGCCTTCCTGACCTCTCACTGCCTCCATTAGGACATCACCTGGTGGGGAAAGGAGGTTTGCCCAGAGAAGTGAAGAAAAGTGGTGGGTTACAAGCTTTGTTGCAAAGCAGGAAACCCGAGTTAAATCTAGTGTGGGAGGCCCAAGCAGAGGCAGCTAGCGCGTCTGGGACACAGGGCAGTGGTGAAGCTAGGAGCTACAAAGGGAAGTGAAATATTAACATCATGAGTCGTGTGTGTGAGATGGCAAAGAGAGCAAGAAAGAATAGTGGCTCAAGACAGGTGTCTCATTAAGCTACAAATCATACGCTTTATTTAACATTCCTCAGAAAAACCCCTCTGCAGTAGCAATGCTTATTGCTTTTACAAAAGCAAGAGGCCTTGTCAAGGGCCAGGTTTTTTTGACATTGTACATTCTCCAGATTGCCTCTAAAAGAATATCAGAAATTCCCTGACGGCTCTACACAGCTGTAGCCCAGCTACTTTTCCATACATAGAGCAACTGTTTGCCAGAACCGGTGTGCTGTGTTTTAGAGTAAGGAAAATCAAAATAGAAGCAAAGGAAAGTTTCAGTTACAGAGTACAGCTTATATCTATATGCATCAACTCGACTTCAGAAAAAACATAAGTCTTCTGAAGAAGAACGGAATCCAGTAATTTTAAAGGCACAGAAAGGTAGAAATAAATTTTTATACGAAAGCTTTATAAGTCTATCTTCCTTTTCAATGCAAATAAAAGGAAGGTGATCACTACAAAAGTACTAAGCAAATTTATACTGGGAGATTTCCTTCCTAGGGACAGAAAATAATTATTTAGGAAAGATACTTAGTACAAGTTATTGTAAAATAGTAGTCTCGTTGTTTTAACCTTAGTGAAAAATAGGATTTTATTAAATAGTTATGTCCTCAGATTCAGCAATGCATAATGTTACTGAATTTTTGAAATTAATATAGTAAACCTTCTTCAGAGGAACAGTCGTATAACTACAGCTGTGTTGTCTCTTGAATCCCACAACTACACACCACCGTGGCTGGCAGTACCAATGCAGTCTAACATTCAGAGGAAAAAATAGAAAGGAAGTTTACTTTGGACAAATTTTAACACTCGGTATCAAATTTTTAGTTTTGGAGATGGAAACCTCATGACAGCCTGACCTTGCCCGGCAGCAGCCGAGACCCGGAGCTCGCACACATCAATACTCCCCAGAGTCCTTGGGGTGGGCCGGGTGTATTTTCAGAGCCTATCCACCAGGCTGTGCTGAAGCTCTTCAAATACATTTTGCTCTGTTCAGAACACCACCGCAGTGCATTCAGCTTGCTCCATTTCAGTAACGCGGAGCCATTTGAGGTAACAAAGATGACATTTGTTTATACAGAACTGCAGAGATTGTGTCTATCCAAAACCAAGCACTAGTTCAGAGCATGTGTGTGTACTTTAGCCAAACTCTACATACTTAGCCTCCATAGTTTGGGTGTGTGCGTCATTCATAGCCTTAAGTATGAGATCACATTCCCAACCAGAAATCGGTGAATTGTTGACTTGGCAGCTGCTCAGCATAAAAAAAAGAAAAATAGGAGAAACAGGGATGATATGGTGAGCCTGTGCTCACTTTTTTATGGGGCAATACAGCACTGAAACAATATTGGATTGTGTGGCTGGTGGGCTTCATAAGAGTGGTTTTCAAAAATGAATTTGCAAAACCCAAACCACAGATAAGGTACAGGAGACTGTATACATGCATACAGAATGCTCATGTTGTCACAGACTAAATCAGTGCTGGCATCAGTGGCTACTAAAAAATTATTTGTCAGCTCTCCTGATGTTGCCATAGAAGTCAATGTGCGTATTCTTCAATTGCAGAGCAAAATGATAAAAAAATTACAGTAGAAAGTTATCACTGTAATATAGAGTTCTTGCCAAATGCAGATATTTAGTAAGTATCAATTTTTATTTTATTTGGGGGAGGGAATAAAGACATTATGAATCATTTTCATCCTATTTTACTAATGTTAATATGTCATTTTGAGAATAACAGTATCTTGTTCTAAGCTGAGCACTGTATTCCTTTTACCCCTGCTCTTCTCTGAAATATTTACATATATTATTTTTAATATATCATTATGTCATTGAAACTACTTCAAGACTAAAACAGTTCAGTATCATTGTTTCCTTTTTCTACGCTGCTTTCTTAATATAATTTCTATTCAGCAATAAAATGAAATTCTGACTTCATGTATTGATTTAACATAAATAAAATTGTCATGGAACAGGAATTCAATTTCTTAAATGGCATTAATAAATTATTCCATAAAGAATTATGCCTCCTTCCAAGGAGAGCAAGGCATTTCCACTACCAAATACTGTCTTGCCCTGCTGCAGTCACAGTGGAAAGACTCCTTCTGTGCCCATGCAGGGCTGGCAGCTCCGCCCCCACCGGTGGATAACCCCATTCTCATCTCCACAGTCCAATTAGTCAGTCTCTGCCTTTTCCATTGCAGC